TAGAAATCGAACAGCTTTTAATCGAGACACACAGACATTTAATAATTGGTAGTTGCTTTCTCTATTCCACAGTTCACATTTAACAGCTTTAAGGCCAGCATTTGCCTTTTGTCTTCTGGCTTTGGTACAAGGTTTGAATTTGTGTCAGTAGAGACTTTGCCCAAGTGTACAGGCCCTGAGACCCTGGCTCTCCAACACCAGTAGTGGGGTGCTACATTTGACTATGCACATGCCTATCAGCTGGGGTTCAGCCCTGGGGCTGTCACCCAAACAGATTCCAGGTTGTGTGCCAACTCTGAATAACTACAGGGACAGTTTGGAGTCGTGGTTGAGAGACAAGTCGAGTTTTCATTACAAAGAAGGCTGTTATTAATTAGCCATACCTGTTGTTGTTGTTGTTGTTAAGTCCCGTCGAGTCGGTTCTGACCCATAGCGACCCTGCACAGGGTTTCCGAGGCTGTAAATCTTTACGGGAGCAGAAAGCCTCATCTTTCTCCTGCGGAGTGGCTGGTAGTTTCGAACTGCTGACCTTGAGGTTCGCAGCCCGATTTGTAACCACTATGCTATCAGAGCTCCTTAGCCATACCTCTAGTGGTTATGAATTGGGATGCTAACCTCAGGGTCAGCAGTTCGAAACTACCAGCTGTTCAGTGGGAAAAAGAGGCTTTCTGCTCCCATAAAGATTTACAGCCTTGGAAACCCTGTACAGAGTCGCTATGAGTCGGAACCGACTTCATGGCACATAACCACCACCACCACTACAGGGGCCAAGGAGCTCTGGTAGCATAGTGGTTATGAATCGGGCTGCTAATCTCGGGGTCAAAACTAGCAGCTGTTTTGACTAGGCATGTAACAACTACAGGGGCCATGGTGACACCTGTTAGAAATGTCTGGAATGGGGAAACTGGGAAAGGGACTGCAGGCCGGTTATGGGCTCAAAAAAGGACAAGGAGGGATGCCCATCTTTGCCACACATGGGTCCTCAGCAAACCAGTCAAAGAAGTTGTGGGTAACTTCTCCAGGATCTGGGTGGGACAACTTAAGCCCCAACTAATGGGAGTTCAGACGGGTAGAGCTCACATCTGAAGGCAGAGGCAGAGGCCACACCTGCGTTAGCTCCTCACCCTCGGGAGTCAGTTTTATCTGGGGTAAGAGAGATGGCTGGTTGTCCTCTGAGGCTTAAATGCAACTCAGAGAACTAGATGTTTGTGTGTGGCACTTACACCAAAACAACTTTCATGCTGGATAAACTTTCACAGTTTTCCAGTCCACAATAAAAATATTTATCTTCTATGGGCTACTGAGAAAACAAAATTGGGTGAAAGGGCATCTAGCTTACTTTAAGCAAGTTCCAGAATGGAGGGACAGTTTTAGAAAGCTCGGTTTCAACAGAAAACGCACAACAGCAAAAGAATGTTTCTGGAAAATGCTAAAGGCATGGGTCATAAGCCCAAGTTTGTGTTTTGCTTCCCTTCGAGGCTATGCCATGTTCATAGGGTGGGAGGCTACTTGATCCAGCTGACTTTGGGGATGTAATGCTCCATGATTGTGTCAAGGTGTCTGTTGAAGTTCTCCACTTGTGGGTTTTGGACGCTTTCTTCAGGTTCCTTTCCATTTACTGCGTCTCCTGCATCTTCTCAAAGGCCACCTGGGTCAGGGTCCTCTTGTCCAGGCTGTTGTCACTTCTTCCTTATCCTTTTTGTTTGTTCCCATTGCTTCCAGAAGTTTCGCCTCGTTTTTGTCCTTCTTTTTCTTCTTCCACTTGGTCACGCCGAGCTCTGTGATACCTTTCAGTTTAGGGGACCCTTCTTGATCTGCTTGTAGGTGGCCATGGCGCCTACCGGCAATTGGTAGGTAAACTCGATATCAAATATTTTTGAAAAATATCCAGATAAAGTTGGTATGTGAGCTACTCATTCTTTCAAAGCAAATGTCTTATTTTTTAGTACTTATTTCATTAAAACTTTTAGTTTTTATTGTGCCTTGAGTGATAGTTTAAATGGGAGAACATCAGCTTTACACTTATCCTATTTCATTTCATTGCAATGACTACAATCCCCTCCATGTATCATCATTCAACAGCATTTTGCTTCTATTCCCTGTTTTTTTTTTTTTTTTTGTATGTACACCGAAGCACTCAGGAATATATAAGCATTCAAAACAACCAAAGGGTATCCCCTGCAAGACTGCCCCCCACCCCGGTTGCCAGCACACAGCCCCTCTCCCTCCATGAGTCTAGAGTTCTCCAGCTGCTCTGTCTCTCCACGTCATCTCTTGTCTCCATCTCTGGGGTTGCTGCTCCCCTGGATAGGGTCCCACACTCCGCTCTTCTCCCTTGATGGTCCCAAGGTCTTCCATGAAAACTTTTGCATTTGTTATAAACTAATATATATTTTTTTTATGAATAATTCTTACAACCAACCATTCAGGTTATATGTTACACCTTTTGGGAACACTGTCTTATTTCATAGGTAAAGGAGATGTTTTCAGAATGTACCATAAAGAGACAGAGCAGCTGAGGAGAGTGTTTTGTGTACACCTCCCCTCCTCCCCAAAAAACTCAGAGGAAATAGAAGCAAATATTGTTGAATGATGATGCATGGAGGAGATTGTAATCACTGCAATGAAATGATGAGTGTAAAACTGATGTTCTCCATGAAACTATCACTCAATCCACAATAAAAACTTTATTAAATGTACCATAAGAGAAATACGGTATAAAATATGAGTTTAAGAATTTGCTCATTTTGTTAAGAGTTGGAAGCAGGGAAAGAATAGCAGCATTCTATTTACACACTCTACTATTATCTTTTCCAGAGTCCTGGTACAGCGCTGTGTGTTAATGTATGGGACTGCAAGGTGGGTTTGAACCACAAAGTCAGCAGTTCAAGCTCACCAGCCCCTCCTCGGAAACCCTACAAAGGGTCGCTATGAGTCAGGACTCCACAGCAAAAAATAATTATCTTTTCCAATGAAGAAAACAGTCAAGCACAAAATCCACTTCTTAGCTAACTAATGACTATATGAAGAATTTTAATGTACTTCTCCATAATGTTCATAATACCCAAAGCAGATTGAAAATAAAACTATATCTACATATAGTTGATACTTTACCAGAATTAGAAAAAATAAAATATTTTACTTTAATGAAGTTTTTATTAAGCTATCATTTTTCTCACATGTATACTAGTAATCTTAAAAAGACAAATATCTACTACCAAAAGTTAAATACTGTATAATTTATGAAAAATATAATTTTAAGAATTTTAGGAATAATAAAGGACAAGTATTTACTTTAAATGGATTAAACAAGAAAATTCCAATAAGAAATTTAACCCGAAAATAGTAAACTCCTGGTTTGCCTAGGGGAACATTTGAAAAAGCATTTGCTGAAGCTAGAAAGATACTATTTTAGTTCAAGACTGTATCTACATCACTTTAAATAAACCTTAAAACTTATTTTCAGACTCCCAGAGGTCACCTTTTAGCCAAACAGTAGATTAGATTATAAACAGTATTACCCAGTAAATGTGTTCCTCAAAGAATTAAATTTGTATGAGAGCAAGTAGTTTACCTGAAAGCAAAGATAAGGAAGGCAAGGAGGGAAAGGGAAGCTAAATCAATGGTAACAGAACAAACACAAAGGGAATAATGAGAATGCTGACACGTTATGAAAATTATAACTAATGTTCTGGAACAAACTGTATAAAAATTATTAAACAGGAACCTAATTCACTGTGTAAATTTTCACCTAAAAATAAGAAATTGAAAAATTTTTTTTTTAGTATGTATAATTTGCTAAATAGAGTATTGGACTGGGGCTGAAAAGACTATGCTAGACGGTGAACTCAAGAACAGAGCTAGGTCTCACTTATCTTTCCATCCCCAGTTCTAGAATAATCCTGGTTCAGAGTAAAAATGCTTATGTAATGATCACTGTTTCACCTGAACTGGAGCAAATATACATTTCTACCTTTGGTCATGTTTCAATCCACATCAAGCATTACCTTTTAAGTACCTGAGCTGCAGCCCTTGTTTTTGGCTCTAGACTTTAAATTGAATAACCCAAAAAATCCCACTGCCATTGAATCGATCCCAATTCATAGCAACCGTACTGGGCGAAGTAGAACTGCTCCTCAGGGTTTCTGAGGCTGTCAATCTTTTTATGAGCACACAGCCTCATTTTCCTCCTGTGGAGTGGTTGGTGGGTTTGCAGCACTTGTGATTAGTTAGCAGCCCAACACATAACATACTATGTCACCAGGACTCCTTCTAAATTGAGAAAAGTATGCCAATGGACAAGGAATCCTGGGGGCAGAATAGTTAACTGCTTGACGGTTAAATTAAAGGTTGAAAGTTCAAACCCATCAGCGTTCATGGGATAAAAGACCTGGCAATCTGTTTCCATAAATTATAGCCTCGGAACCTTACAGAGTACTTCTACTCCGTCACTGAGTAGTACTTCTACTACTCACTGAGGGTCACTGAGTCGGAATCAACGCAATGGCACACCACCACACCATATGCAGACATTTTCTATATACGTTTTCTGAGAGGATCCTCAAATAAAATCATTATTGGGGCTGTGAATCTTCTCTTATGTAGTCTGGTTCTTATTTCTTGGCTAACAGTTATTATCAGTGTGCAATTTCAGTGCAAGAACTGAAATACTCATATGCTCATATGAATAAGAATGAAATAAATGCCTTGCTTTTTCATGTTTTAAGTAACAGATACATAGCATCTTAAATTATGACATAATTAGCAATTTTTAGACACTGAATATAATACACTGTATTACAATGCAATGTGATAGGCTTCCATTTTATAAACAAAAACATGTTTCACATGTAAAAACATTTATTATCATTCACATAAAATACAATTTAGCATATATCTAAATTTTTAGCTTCAAAGCACTTACAAACAAACACTGAAGAACTTAAAGATGTACAGTCTCTATTTTGTCCAAAAAGCTTACACAAAAAGTTCTCTTATCATTATTGATCATCGCCTCGTTGCCTTAAATTTCTAGATTTTCCATTTTCAATTCTTCTCTTTTTAAAGACTGGGGCCACTCCATCTGCCACAACTCCAAGAGAAGTGACTGTTTTCTCATTAAATACTATTTTGGATTCTCCACCACCATCAGCTGCTGAAGATGATACATACTCCTCAGTGCTTGGAAGTTCCAAATCTACCTCCTCACTAGAACAGCAAGAAAAATCAAATCATTTGACAGTGTAAGGCAGTAACTTTTATAATATAACCTATGCTCCCCAAAATCACCTTTCTCATGATATTAACAGTGAAAGGTTAGAAGATGGTCATTTTAGAGTAAGAAACTACTTTAAAATAAAGACTAATTTTACAATATGACAAATTGAAGAGAAATGTTGTTGTACTCGTCATCAGAAAGAACATATCAAGATTTACCATGAGGTACCAAGGTTGTCTGTGATAGGATAATACCCATGCATCTACAGGGAAGCCCAGTTAATACCACTATTATTCAAATTTACACACCAACCACTAAAGCCAGTGAGGATGAAATTGAAGAATTCTACCAACTTCTTTTCAGTCTGAAATTGATCAAACATGCAATCAAGACGTATTGTAATCACTGGCAACTGGAATGCAAAGGTTGGAAACAAAGAAAAATGGACCAATAAACAACATTCAATGCAGAAAAGATTGAAGTTGTCAAAGACTTTCATTTTTCTAGGATCAAGCATCAACACTCGTGAAGGTGGCATGTCAAGAAATCAGATGACATATGTGCATTAGGCAAATCTGCTGCACAAAACCTTTTTATAGTATTGAAGAGCAAAGATGTCAGTTTGAGAACTAAGGTGCCCCTGACTCAAGCCATAGTATTTTCAATAACCTCATATGGACTTGAAAGTTGGACAGTGAATAAGACAGACTGTAGAAGAATTGATACATTTGAGTTATGGTGTTGGAGAATATTGAAAGTGCCATAGCGTGCCAAAAGAACCAATAGATCTGTGTTGGAAGACGTGCAGCCAGAGTGCTCCTTGGAGGCAAGGATGGCCAAACTTCATTGCTCATACTTTGGACATATTGTCAGGAGGGACCAGTCGCTGGAGAAGGATATCATGTTTGGTAAGGTGGAGAGTCAGAGAAAAAGAGGAAGACCCTTAGTGAGATGGATTGTCAAAGTGGCAGCACCAATGGGCTCAAGTGTGGCAACGATTGTGAGGTTGGCCTAAGACCGGGCAGTGTTTTGTTCTGTTGTGCACAGGGTTGCTGTGAGTTGGTACCAACTCGATGGCACCTAACAACAATAAAAATAATTTTATAATATTGTTTAGCACTTATTTCGGTGGACTAACATGAAAAGTTCCACCTATTTTTTATACCTATTGCACAAAGGACATAGCCTCTAAGTAAATGCCTGTGCCTATTTATGTACAATTAGTACAAAGTAACTACATAGCTAAAGTATTTAGAAAAGCTGCAGGGATTGACAAGGATTTGGGGGCTTACAAAACACAAAATAGAATACCCTGGTGGCACAGTAGGTTACAGATTGGGCTATAACTGCAAGATCAACAGTTAGAATCCACCAGTTGTTCTGCAGGAGAAAGATGAGGCTTTCTGCTCTTGTACAGATTTATAGCTTCAGAAACCCTGCACAGGGTTGCTATAAATTGGAATGACAAACAACAACACAACACAAGATAAAACTCATGGAACCTCAACATCTCAGTATAATAGACTTCTTGTGGCTAATTTCTCTAGTACCACTTTTCTAACAACTAGCCCTTGAACAATCCACAAGGTTAGTGTGAAGGCTAATTTTGTGTGTCACACTGGGCTAAACTATGATTCTCAGTAATTTGGCAAAGTACTACATCAAAAAGCTATTGTTCTAGAATATAATATAATGCAAAATCACTTTCTATAATCTAACAATATAACCAATTAATTGAAAGGGGAGTTTCTTAGGGTGTGGTCTGCCAGCAGAACTGTCTTTCTTAATTTTGTACCCCTCCAGTTGCCTGACCTACAGATGTTCGGGCGCCAGCCGGCAGAAGTTTCATGTCTGCATCTGACTTAGGGATTTTGGACATGCCAGTTATCCATAATTCTGTGAGCCAGCAGAAGTCTCTAGCTGGTTGCCTGACCTTTGGAGTTTAGATTTTAGTCCCCACAGCTGCACAAACAATCCCTTTTAGTAAATCTATCTATATGCCTCACTGATTCTGTTATCTCTAGAGTATAAATAATGTGTTGATTAGCCCATGGTTAGAGTAACATCATAGTTATCTACTCCTTGAATAGTCAACTGGTCCAAGAAAGAACAAGTAACTCATGCCACACATATCAGTATTATCCACAAGATTTTTGAACACAGACCAGAGAGCTTATGTTTAACTCCTTATTGGTTGACAGTATAAAACATGGCAAGAATCACATTTCTCCTTATTTGGAGAAAGCCATTTTGCAGAGATAAGTGAATAAAGCTTGTATGTAGAGAAATTCAGAAATCGGAGGTGGAAAATCCTGCCAGTGTTTTAGTTCTGGTTCCAGAAATTCCTGAGGGCCCTATTTCTGTCTCTCCCACAACCTGGTATGCAGACTCTTCCTTGGAATATAAGAATAATGTTATGTTCTTTTCTTTAATGTTAATTCAAGTTTCTATTACTTGAAACCAAAAGATTACCTGATTAGTATGAAAGGAAGGCTAATGAAAGGAGAGAAAGCGAATTTAAAACAAAAAAAGTAAAGGGATAGGTTAAATGTTAAAAGTCACAGATAGCAAGAGCTGAGAAATGCCATCTAAGAGTAAAGGTGAGTATAGGTCTATACTCCTTAATCTTAGAATAACCCAGACGATGTACTACTCACTTAGCTTGATTCTGGGGAAGAAGACAACAAAGGCATCTTTCTCAGAGGACAGGAAATGTCTGAAAAAGCTGTTAGATCTAAAGTAGGAATTATAATATTAACAGTAGCTATATGGGACGCCTAAGGAGCTCTGGAAGTGTAGTGGTTACAAATCAAGCTGCAAACCTTAAGGTCAGCAGTTTGAAACTACCAGCTGTTCTGTGGGAAAAAGATAAGGCTTTCTGCTCCATAAAGATTTACAGCCGCGGAAACCCTGTACAGTGTTGCTATGAGTCAGAACCGACTCCACGGCACATAACCACCACCACCATATGGAACGCCTATTGTGTGTCAAACATTGCACAAGGTACTTGGTGTACATTTTTTTTTTTTTTTATTTTGGCCTGTTTAATATCTCATTCTTACTTTTCTAGCCCTAGAAATGTCCCCTCTTTCTCTCTTTGGGAACCACCTCTCCTCCTCTCCTAATCCAAGAGTTTTGAGTTCACTTTGAGTCCAACAAAGAATGGAAATAGGGTATGTGATGTAAACTAAGCAGACCCATTTGGGAAGAGCTGGTGAAAAAGCACATTTTTATTTTCCTCCTGGAATCACTGCTAATATAATGTGAGCCTAAATATTTGCTATTAGGTAAGGAGAGTCAGTCCATGTCAGAAGTGGTCAACCCAAAGTACTGCAGAGCTGAAAGAGTGAGAGTCAGAGACAGACTGTCCTGGTAACTTCACTGAAGCTCCTAACCCCATTTATGCTTGAAGCAAAGGCACCTGACACCTTACACATACCAAAATAAATGAAAAGATAACACTGGAGTGGGTTATATATACTTCTCATAATAAAACTAGCATGGCAGGAACAGTGATTTCTGGTAACCAGAGTTCTTGATAATTGAAGTTTAAATACAATGTGATTTTCATGTGTTTGCTAAGACTTACATTCATTTAATATATGCTATGTAGTTTAATTGTATATATTAAACTGAATAGCACATAAAAATGAACTTTAAGTTTATTCAGTTTAACTGGAGTCCTGGTGTGGTGCTGCAGGATAATGTGCTGGACTGCAAAGTCAGTTTGAACCACAAGATTGGTGGTTCAAACTTATGGACCGCTCACTGAAAACCCTACACAGGGTCGCTGAGTCAAAACTGACTTGATGGCACACTTAATAACAACAACAACCAGTTACATTATTTCAACAAAAATACAGGAAAGGTGGTAACAAAGCAAGAGCTTTCTTCTTGTCCCTACATATATGCCACTGACTACATATGTGGATATTTGTGAGAGAGTGAACGTGTCTGCGTGGTGTGAATGACTGTATGATCAACAGAAATGCCATGCTTTGGTAGCAATTAAAATAACCAACCACTGGCTTGTGCTTTAAAGCAGTCATTCCCTTATTTAAAAAAAGGCTAGTAACCCAGAAAGAAAGAAAAGAGGTATACTTTTAATGAGCTGTATCCATGAAATTAATTACTGTTATTTATGGAAGCAATGACATGTAAAATAAAAAAGCAATGGTTTGTAAAAACTGTGATAAATTTCAGGTACTTACGGTGACTCAACTTCTTGTTTAATTTCTTGCCATTCTCCATATGGGTTTGATTTTTTAACAGCTTTGGATTTTTCTTCCTTTGGACCTGATGAATCCTTTTCTTGTAGGATTTTTTCTTTCTGTGGTTCTATTTTAGTTATTTCATGACTATTTTTATTTTTTTCCTGAAATGTAAAAGTTAAGAAATAACATTTTAAGCAAAATTAATAAAACAACAGAACGATATTTAACATGAGAGTTTTTAATGTTGTTATAGATTTATAAGTAGTAAAACACCAATCAAATTAATAGTTTAAATTTGTACACAACACAATAAAATACACATAAAGAACTTTAATGATTGATTAGGTTTTTGATTGTCTACAATGCTAACATACCATTACTAAAGATGCTTTTTAAAATAAAACTTGATTCTATTAGTGTCAGGGAATATATGATTAAGGACATTCTTTCTCTCATTTCTTTTCTGCTTTCTCCCCTTGCTTATATATCCAACGGTGACTTATCTTTATGGAGTTCCCTAATGAGTTTCATGCCATGTCATCAGTCTCTTCTGTACCCATTAGCTATTTGAAACACTCCTTCAACCTATTAGTCTCAAATGAAGTCTGCTGTTACCTTGAGGACAGCCTCATTATCCTGTACAATTGGGGGTGGCAGTATTATAGATAGTTTATCTTTTATAATATGTTGTTCTATGTAATGGACACATTAATTTTGATGTAAGACAAATGAATCATTTCTGTTCTACAGATACTGGGCTACTTCAATTTGACTCTAAACACTGTGACATAGCCACCACTAAGGATCTGCTGCTCCTCCTCTTACAAACAGGATACATCTCTCACCGTCAACATTTATGAGGTCGGTAGGTAAATTCCAGGCAATGACATGATGATCCTAGGTATGACCTGGGAGTACTCTCTCTCCAGCATCCTTGATTTTCCTTCACCTCTGTCAGGCCAGGAATCTCAACCATGGATCAATGCTATTTACTCTGTCTTCTCTGCTTTGGCACCTGGGTGCTCCTGAGTGTTCCTAGAGAAGGTCCCAAATGCATGAGGACTAGCAATACTACAAAAATGTCTGTTTGCCTGCCACAGCTGGACACTTAGCATCACCAGTCAGTTCTCCTGCTGGGTTCATGACCTCTCAGCTCAGCTCAGTGATGATTTCAAGAGATTTATGTGGTGCAGTCCCTAAAGCTTTTTTCTCACTCTTAGCCCACAATCTCGCATCCTATATGAATGAGAAAATTGAGCCTGTAAGGCACGACTACCTCGATTTCCTCCCAGATACCTACTCAGTTTATAGTCATACTTTTCTTAAACCTCTTCTGTTGTTGTTGTTAAGTGCCGTTGAGTCGATTCCAACTCATAGCGACCCTGTATAGGGTTTCCAAGGAGCAGCTGGTGAGCTTGAACCACTGACATTGCAGTTCAAATGACTTTGCAGCCTGGTGCATTAGCCCACAGAGCCATACCAGGACTCCAATCCTCTTATAGAAACTGAGATTTCTTGTTACAGACTAACCTATTCATCTGCCCTTACTGGAATATCCTTTCTACCTCCTTTGATATCTCACCTTACTGGTCAAAATCCTCTTCTCATTTCTATGACTTTCTGTCCTTTAATCTGTAGGCATGCTCATCTTTCTTAATGAAAACACTACCACTACTAATCTCTGATCATTAAGAAGTAATATCTAGCCATGATTCTAACATCTAGGTTTCATTTCATACCCAATCACTTTCCAATTCCCTGTAATCTGAGTTCTGTCCTTCAAAATGCTGGTGAAATTGCTAGACAGGCATCAAGGACATCCTAACAGTCAGACACAATGGACATTTTTCTTTATTAATCCCTCCCCCCAACCTCTCTCTGTAATTAATTCTTGATGGTCTCTGTTTCCTTGGGCTTGGGGATAGTAAGTTTTTCTGCTATTCCACATACCTTTCTAACCACTCTTCTTCTTTGTGTCTTATGAGCTATTTTACTCAGCTTGTCAATTAAATGCTTAATGTTCCTAGATTACCTTCCACATTCTCTGATTCAAGTAACTACCAGTGTGCTGATGACACGCAAATCAGTATTGGAAGGCTACACATTCAGACTTGACTGTTAAGATAATGCTCTGAACGTTACACGGGCATGTCAAACTCAGGAGTTTAAAAATGAACTTACTGTCCTGCTTCTAAATAAATATCACTATATGGTAATAACCAAAATATATACCTTGGTTTCAATTTGTCATCTACCAGAAAACTAAAGGAAATCTGTAAAGCCTTTTTATAAAATGGAAAAGCTTTCATGAAAAGTAAAATCAAGAACCTACCTTAAACTTTATTATTAGCTTTTGTGTTTTTGTAGAGGTATCGCCTTCTACTTTCTGTTCTTCATCAGAATCACTATGTGAATCTGATGATTTGGACTCTTCTAGGTTGTCAACTGCCTTTTCACTGATCTTATTAGAAAGCAGATTGCCAGGGTACGGAATAAAATCATCAGGTTTCTCCCAGTTGGATTCTGTTCAACATATTTTAAGACATGTTATTTAGTTACCCATTTTATTCAGAAGTAATTCCCAAAATAACACATCCTATCACTTATATTTTAAATGTTTCATCTGTTTCACACTATTACTTGGTTAAGAAGATAATAAATGAGAGTCCCCAGAGTTCTTGCTCTTGTATCATTTAAAAATTTATTTCAAACAACTTGGATATACTAAATGTGTATAAACCTCATTCCAATGGAAAGAGTCCTAAGATCTGGGTGATACTTTCTAAGGATTCCCTCAATTTATTTAAGACCAATTTCAGGAAACACATTTGGTAATCAGTATACAGTAGTTTTCCTGGGAGTTTTCCACAAAGCAGTGAAATGATATTGTAAAGATCTAAATAAATACAATTTTCCATTAGAAAAAAATCTCAATGAAGTGAATTCTACTGCCATCCGGTGGTTTATTGAAGTTTCAATAAAATGAGAGCATTTCTAATTGTCTTGCAGTTTAATAATAAAAGGCAAAGGGACTAAACAATTGTCTAACTGGGATATTTTTAAGAATGAAAAAGGCTGCTACTGATAATTATACTAGTGATAGGCATAAACTGTTCAGGAGAAATCAGTATGTACAGCTTCTTATTTTACACATGGAACTTTCCAGCAATAATGAAAACATTACTTTTCTTTATCTACCTTTCACACAAGTAACGAAAGGATTTTCAGGAACTAATTTGTTAAGTATCTACTGTGTGCCGGGCACTGTTTGAGGAACAATCCCACAAAATACATACAGTTTTCTATATTTTACCCAAGAGCAACTACAGGCTCAGTTACTTGCCAACAATAATGAAGCTGGTAACGCAAGGAGTTATGAGTTGAGCTCTGCTCTAACTACTAACTGTATCACATTTTACAACTTCAATTTTTATGGGATATAAACATTTCTATCATTGGGCTGGCTAGGCATCTACCTGGGGGCTGCTGCAAGGGACTTATCCTTCAAAAAGATTTAATGCTATGTAGAGGGTTGGAACCGACCCCATGGGAAATAACAACAACAACAACAACAGAGGCTCACTGGTCACCACACACTCCTCAGAAATCATAAGAGTTGAAACTGACTCGACGGCACTTAACAACAACAAAAAGGGAATCATGATGAAATAAAAGAGGAGAAACAATGATGCAGGAAGCATCAGAAGAAGATGGAAGGAATACAGAGTCACTGTACCACAGAGTACTGGTTGACGGTCAACAATTTCAGGAGGCAACAGTTTTTCACCATGGTTTTCAGTATAGCGTGGACTTCTGTTTAATAGTATTGGTCAAAAACAAGCCTCCAGATATTTCCAAAACACCAACTGACATTTTTCAACAACAGATGGGATGCTGGAAGTGCTAAGTCATTGTTTGCCAAAAAATATGGAAAAGGGACAACTGACCAACCAACTGAAACAGATCTTTATTTATGTCCATCCTAAAGAAAGGTGATCCAACAGGTGCAGAAATTACAGAACAATCTAATTAATATCATATCCAAATAAAATTTTGCTAAAGAAAATTAAAAAGTAGTTGCAGTATTAGGTAGACCTTGGCTGAAAGCAGAGAATTCTATGATGTTTACCTTTGTTTTATTAACTATAATACAAAGTCTTTGACTGTGTGGGTCATAACAAATTATGGGCAAAATTGTTGGAATAGGAATTTCAGAACACTTAACTGTGCTCATGGTAGCATGGTAGCTCCATATGATGAGCACAGGGCTGCCAATCACAAGGTCTGCGATTCAAGCCCACCAGCTACTCCATGGGATAAAGATGAGGTTTTCTGCTTCCACAAAGATTTGAAGCCTCAGAAACCCTATACAGTGTCCCTGAGTAGGAACCAATTCAAAGGTACCTAACAACAATTGTGCTCATGCAGAAGGTGTACACAAACAGCCATTTGAATAGAACAAGGAGCTACTCAGGGGTTTAAAATCAGGAAAGGTGTGTATTAGAGTTTTATTCTTTCACCATCTTTATTCCATCTGTGGAATCCTGGTGTGGTGTTATAGAATCAGCACTGGACTGCTAAGTCCAAGGTCTGTAGTTCAAATCCACCAGTTACTCCTTGAAAGCTCTATACAGGGTTGCTATGAGTCAGAAATGACTTGACAGGACTTAACAACAGCAGCATGCCATCTGTATGTTGAGCAAATAACCTGACAAGCTAGACTATATGAAGAATTCGGCATTCAGATTGGAGGAAGACTCATTAACAACCCGTGATATTCAGATGGCACAACCTTGCTTGCTCAAAGTGAAGAGAACTTGAGATCAAAGACTACAGCTTTCAATATGGATTACAATTCAATGGAAAGAAAACAAAAATCCTTACATGTGTACCACTAAGCAACATCATGAGAAATGGAGGATATACTGAAGTTGTCAAAGATTTTACTTTAGTAAGATCCACAATCAAAGCCTATGGAAGCAGCAGTTAAGAAATCAAATGGTGCATTACACTGGGCAAATCTGCTGCAAAAAGACCTCTTGAAAGTGTTAAAAAGTAATGATGTCACTCTGAGGACTAATTGTGACTGACTCAAGCTATGATATTTTCAATTGCCTCACACACATTCAAATGTTGAACAATGAAGAAAGAAGACCACAAATTGATGTATTTGAATAATGATGTTGGCGAAGAATACTGAATATATTATGGACAGCCAGAGTCAGAAAGCACTTGAGAAGTGAGCATGGCAAGACCATCATAAGGGGCCAGTCCTTGGAGAATGGACATACCATTATAAGGGGCCAGTCCTTGGAGAATGACATCATGCTTGTCAGAGGATCAGCAAATAAGAGGAAGAACCTCAATAAGATGGACTGACAGTGTTATCAACAATGGATTGAAACATAGGAATAATTGTTAGGATAGTGCAGGACTGAGTAGTGTTTTGTTGTTTTGCATAAAGTTGTTATGAGTCAGAATTCACTTGATAGCATTTAACAACAATAGACTATATACAGTAGAAATTTAAGAACAAAGTTAATATCAGTATTATAGCTATTCTGGAACAACTGCTATAGAATGAGCAAGGCATACAAGGTTGCCATCACCATGAAGCTTACAGCCAGAGAAAGAGAAATGGGAGAGACACAAGGTACATAAAAATCAGTGGTGAAGAAGAAATGAATAAATACAATCGAAAGGCTTTTCAGCTTGCTGTGCTCTCTGTGCTGTCTAGCTTGTTGTTCCCCTTTTCTCTGTACCCTCTCCTGCCTTCTCCCTCTTGCTCTTGCTTTCTGCTCTGCTGCTACCTACTTCTACTTCTCCTGCTAGCGCAGTTACTTAGGTTCTCTATGAAAGGGAGTAATTTACACAATTCTCTTTTGTATTCAATTCACCAAAGTTGAAAGCAATTGCTGCTAAGCTAGTTTTTCCTAAGGTTTGTAAAATTCATAGTGAAAAGCTGTGAATATTGCCATATTATATATTTTTACAAGTAAATTCGGAGCTAACTTGAAGGGAAGATAGGGGCTAGCCTCTGAGAGTCATTCGCCATGCATAATGTCCGCCCCCCCCACCCCCACCCCGCGGCCGTGCCAAGCAATGGGAGTTAAGCGCTTCCTGCACCCAAGAAGCTCTAGTAAAAGGTGAATAATAAATGAGACAAGGTGTATGCATCCCCTTCAGTTTGCTGTTTCATCAGTGTTTTGGGGGCTATCACCATTTATTTCCCTGTGTCATTTAGCTGTTCTCTTCTGAGAGGCTATGTTTTCTCCATTGCAGATATTTAGCATTCTGCAATCACTGTTTCCTGCAAAGTGTTATTTTGTTTGCTCCCAAAACCAATAAAATGTTAACAATTAAAAAAATTAACAGTAGTCATAATTATTGTTAAGTGTCATAGAGTCATTTCCAACTCACAACAAACCTAAACAGGGTTTCTGAAGAACAACTGGTAGATTTGAACCACTGAACTTGCAATTAGTGGTTTAGTGCTTATCCTACAACACCATGCCAGAATATAGTAGGAACCAAATAAAATTATGGGAAGGCCATTTGGTACCTTGTGTGGTGCTGTAGGATAAGCACTGGACTACCACCCACAAGGCTGGTGGTTCAAACCCACCAGCTGCTCCAAAGAAACTATATACAGTGTTGCTCTGAGTGGGTACCAACTTGTCAGCACTTAAGAACAACAAAGAACCTTCCAAAGCAATCATTAATTTCTAGAACCATTAAAATAACAATTAGTAATGGTAAGGAGGTTAAAATGATTCTTTTTTTAATATTTATGTTTCAATTCAGGGTTGCTATGAGTCGGAACTGACTCGACAGCACTTAACAACAACTGAGAATAACAACACTGTATGGCCTGGTATATTATATATGATGTTGTTAAGTGTTGTTGAGTTAGTTCTCACTCACAGTGACCCTGTTATAGGATTTTCAGGGAATGGCTAGTGGGTCTAAACCGCTGACCTTGTAGTTAGTGGTCCAGTGCTTATCCTACAGTGCCACACCAGGATTCAATATCATACACAAAATTCTTAAAAAAAATTTTTTTATCATGGTGAAGTATATAAAATTTAAGAAAAAAAAAGATGAGGTTTCAAAAATTTGTGGACAAATCAAATGAAAAGATAAAGGATTTTTCCACGAACTCTTTGGTTCGTTATAAATAACAAAAAACGGCCATCATCACTATTTTTAAATAAAATCATTTACTTTTGTTGTTAAGAATTTAAATAACAGGATATCCATCAACTCAACAATTTCCACATGTACAATTCAACAAAAATGGTTACGTTCTCCGAATTAGGATGCAACCATTCTCACCCTCCTTTACCAAGTAGTTTCTCTAACATCTTTCAAGGTGCTACTGTCAATTTAATTCCATACAGATAGATCTTAAAAGAGAAGAAAAGCTTAAGACAGACATTTGTTCTTTTCCAGGTAAGCTAAACAATTGTTTGGTTTAAGGAAGACTTAAGGGGGAAATTTCTGGAAATGATTTGAAGGCATTTAACAACAGCAACAGGCATCTTTCAGGCATTTTAAAATGTATAATTCAGTGCCATTGATTATATTTACAATGTGTGCATCTAATAATGTTTTAAATTTGCAAAATAATAATAATGCTTGCTATGGAAATATGTGTACCTGTGTATTCGTATTAGCAAGTACAGATCCTTCTTCAATACATTGAAACAACTGAATATCAACAGGCTACGGAGCAGTTTCAGGTAATTTTAAATAGTTAATATAATCAAAAGAAATACTTACCTCCTGTTTCTGTATTGTAGTAATATGTATAGCCATCTTCACTTAACCCTTCTACCCACACAGCCTTCACTGTCTAAAAGGTGAAATAAAAAGAGCATAAATAAATAAAGCAGAGTCCATCACCCTTTGCTTTCCTCTTGATTCCTGGGGGCTAGTGGTCTGGTAGCGTAGTGGTACGAATCGGGCTGCAAACCGCAAGGTAAGCAGTTCGAAACTACCAGCTGCTCCGCAGGAGAAAGATGAGGCTTTCTGCTCTCGTAAAGATTTACAGCCTCAGAAACCCTGTTCAGGGTCGCTATGGGTCAGAACCGACTCGACGGCACTTAACAACAACAAGAGGTGGTAGTACTATCATGGACAGAAAGTTGGTTTGTGTTAATCATGAGCCAACTTCTTGGGAGACACTGTATCACCTCTGAAAGCCAGGGAACAACTTTTTTCAATGGACAGGGATATATGAATGGTAATGTTTGCAAACAAGTCTATTTGTCATGCATGAGTTTTTGGGTAAACATCAATGTTTCATCTCTACCCAGCCAAAAGTAAGTAACAAAATGAAGGGGAGGCATTCCCTTATGTGGAAGCAAATTTGCTTAATTAAACTCTATAGAATCCCAAACACATAAAGAATCAAGCATAGATAATATTAATGTACTACAGTTACCTTTTTTAAGTTTCCTTGAAATCCTTCAGGCTTTTCCCATTGAGATGCTTAAAGTAAAATATATTGCATTTAAAAATCTCTCTGCTTAAAACAAACAAACCAACTTTCCAAAATATTTAATTTGGCAAAAATTTACAATATATTCAATGTTTACTAAGCACTATAGACATACAGTTTAAAACACAATTGAAAAATAAAAGAAACAACATATATCTGGTAGTATTGTGCAGAGAACTATATATGAGTGCTACCCAACCCAGAAGAACAGATGACGGACTAAAGATTAGATGATACTGCAACTTCCATACGAATTATTAGAGCCAGGAAGGGATTCTCTTGCAAGACTTCATGGAATTCAAGACTGATGAATTTTGAAGGAAGGAGAACATCTTTTAACATTCTGGATCAAGGAAGAGTAAAGAGATGGTAGGAATAAAAACCAGAAGAGGAACAGGATAGAATATGTAGAAATCAAACAGTTATCATTGAGAGAGTAAGAGCATATATAATTAAGATGAAGAAAGGAAGAAAAAAACAAGTACTAAAAGACATAAAATAGTCACATCACTCTCCTACACTGCCATGGTATGACCCTAATCTATCTTTCTGGACTTTCTTCTGCCATGACATCTTCACCAGATGATTCTCTACCCTGAAAACATGAACTTTCAAACCTGTTTGGTTCATACTGTTCCCACTACTACAAGGCTGTACCCTCTATTCAGTCAAAATATGGAGTGTCTGGCATGTGCCAAGCTTTGTGTTAGGAACATGAATGGTGGGTCAAATGATATGATTCTCGTTATTCTCATCTTATCAGGTAGTTTATGTGATAACCTCTCAGATACACCTATGCCTAATCACAATTAATTCCTCAACCTTTTAAGTTCCCATATAATCTTTTTTATTGTGAATTATGTGACAGTTTACATGGGAGAACATTAGTTTTACATTAATCCTATCATATATTGTTTCATTGCCATCCATGGGTACAATCCCCTCCATGCATCATCAATCAACCAAAGGGTATACCCTGCAAGCCTGCCCGCTGGTTGTCAGCACATAGCCCCTCTCCCTCTCTTGGTCCACATCATCGTCTCTGCCTCCATCTCTGGCATCACTGCTTCTCTGGGTAGGGTTCCGCTCTCCGCTCTTCTCCCTTGATGGTCCCAGGGACCTCCGCTCCTAGACTGCAAAGTTAATCACTCCCTTCCTTGCTACAAAATGTCTACCTTTACATTTCCAACCCTAACAATCAGTAGTGATAACAATTATTCACTATTGTATCACAAGAGACCTATCCGTATTTCCTTTCATCAGCCCCACCTAGACAGATTGGATACTACTCAGTGGAGATTCTACCTTCCTCCATGCCCTCAGGATCTAGGTTGTAAGCCAGTCACTTCTTGCCTTTGTAGTCCCCCCGACTTTGGGTAGCCAATGTCCAAGTTGCCCATCCCTGTCTACTCTGTGTATGGAGGGGGTGAGAATGATCCTCACTGTAAAGATTTGTTCCCTCTTTTGAGCTACGGCATCCATAGGTGTAGGTCAAGTTCATCAAATTGTATCAGATTACTCTTTTTTCCCTCTTCTTTCTTCTAGTTGAGCTCTGCTCATCCAGTCATTGAAGCCAAGTCAAGTGGGTATTATCTGCAAGTGTGGGTATTCTTGTGCATATGCTCTCTCTTCTTATCAGCTGGATGCTTCATTCTCTACTCTAGTCCTCTGTGGCTATGTCACTGACTGTGGGCGGGACTCTTGGGCCCAGAGTGTGTGACATAGTCACAGAGGACTAGAGTGGAGAGTGAAACGTCCAGCTGATATTAAGTTCCCATATAATCTTAACTGTACCTCAATAATGACTTTAAAATTCCCTCTTGTGTCATGTTTAGTTGTTTATTTGTCACAAATTTTGTTTCTGGAGAATAAGTAGCTACATACATGTAAAATAAATTATTTATTTATTTGAGGATTCTTATGGAATAAAATTTCCAAAGCCATTTAGTTTTGAAGGAAAACAAAAATATATTTTTTTAATGAACAACAAAAAAAATGCCATTGTTTATAACTGATTTCTAAAACACTGTCATGGAATGAATTGTGTCCCCCAAAATACGTGTTAGCTTGACTGGATCATGATTCTCAATGGTATGGCCGTTATGTGATGGTCCCCATTATGTCATAAACCACGAAGAGGATTAAGGTTTTAAGGTTGGGAGACACCACCCGTAATCCCATCCTAATTCTATGAAAGGAGTTTCTTCAGGGGTTTGGACTATAACACATTTTATCTTGCTGCTGTCATTAAATGTCAAATAAGTTTCTACTTATAGCAAGACTATAGTTTTTCCAAGGAACAGCTGGTGGGTTTGAACCACAGACCTTGTGGTGGTTAGCAGTCTAGTGTTTTTTTACAGCACCAAACCAGGACTCTAACTTTTACCTTGTGAGAGGTAAAAGGATAGTGTAAAAGGGACCTCTACCACCACTTAATAGTACCATGAACTGCCAGAACAACAAACAAATCTGTGTTGGAAGAAGTATAGCCAGAATGCTCCCTAGAAGCCAGGATGGCAAGACTCCCTCTCTTTTACTTCGGACATTACCATCAGGATCATACCAGCAGAATGACAGATCATTTTTGGTATAGTGAAGGGTCAGTTAAAAAGAGGAAGACCCCCAACGAGATGGACGGTAAAGTGGGCTAAAGTGTAATCACTGTGAGGATGGCGCAAGACACTGTTTTGTTTTGTTGTGAATGGGGTCCCTATGAGTGAGAACTGACTCAATGGCAACTCACAACACTACTATCAGTAAAGAAGAGCAGGGAGTGGAGTTTGTGCTTTGGATCTGGGTCCCTGTACTGTAAAGTTCCTAGGTCCAGGGAAAGATTGGTGCCAAGACACAAGAGATGCTTAAAGCAGTTGGTGTCCTGAATGGGACTTCTAACCTCCTAAACTGTGAGTTTGTCATACTGTGGTGGCTTGTGTGTTGCTGTGATTCTTGAAGTTATGCCATGGCTAATACTCATGGTGGACAGGTTTCAGCTGAACTTACAAATGAGGACAGACTAGGTAAAAGGCGAGACATATTACTTCTGAGTATTTAGTCACTGAAAATCTTATGATTAGCAATAGAAAACTGTCAGCACCAGAATATTGAATACTGAAACATGATAAAGAGCACCAGAATATTGTCAGATGTAGTACCAGAAGATGAGCCTGTAAGGTTGGAGGGCACTCAAAATATGACTGGGGAAGAGTTGACTCCTCAAAGTAGAGTTGACAGTGTTGATGTGAATGGAGTAAAGCCTTTGGGACCTTCATTTGCTGATGAGGCAAAACTTAAAATGAAGATAAACAGCTGTAAACATCCATTAATAATCGGAATACGAAATGTACAAAGTATGTACCTAGGAAGATTGGAAACTGTCAAAAATTAATTGGAATGCATAACCATTAATATCCTAGGCATCAGTGATCTGAAATGGACTGGTCTTGGCCATTCTGAATCTGACAATCAGAGGGTTTACTATGCAGAGAATGTCAAATTGAAGAGGAATGACATTGCCTTCATAATCAAAAAGAACATAACAAGTTCTGACTTGAAATAAAATGCTGTGATAGGATAATATCCATATGCTTACAAGGAAGACAGACCAGTTAATACCACTATTATTCAAATTTACTCACCAACCACTAAAGCAAGTGATGAAATTGAAGAATTCTACCAACTTCTTCAGTCTGAAATTGATCAAACATGTAATCACAATGTATTGATAATTACTGGTGATTGGAATGCAAAAGCTGGAAACAAAGAGGAAGGATCAATAGTTAAAAAATATGGCCTTGGTGACATAAATGATGCTAGAGATGACACACTAGAATTCTGCAAGATCAATGACTTGTTCATTGCGAACACCTTTTTTAAACAACATAGAAGATGACTATATACTTGGACCTGCCTACATCTTTGGAAAGAGACAGTGGAAAAGCTCCATAACATCAGCTAGAACAAGGCCAGGGGCAGACTGTGGAACAGACCATCAATTGCTCATATGCAAATTCAAACTGAAGTTGAAGAAAATGAAAACAAGCTCATAAGAGCCAAAATATGATCTTGAATATATCCCATCTGGACTTAGAGATTATCTAAAGAACAGATTTGATGATTTGACATGAAAGACTGAAAATCAGAAGAGTTGTGGTAGGACATCAAGAACATCATACAAGAAGAAAGCAAAGATCAAAAGGGATGTCAGAAGAGTCTGAAACTTGCTCTCCTGAATAGAGATGCTAAAGCAAATGGAAGAAGTGAGGAGGTACAAGAGCGGAACAAAAAATTTCACAGGTCAGCTCAAGAAGACAAAGCTAGATAGTATAACAAAATGTGCAAAGACCTGGATTTAGAAAACCAAAAGGGAAGAACACACTTGGCATTTTTCAAAGTGAGGGAAGTGAAGTAAAAATTTATGCCTCAATATGAAATATTGAAGGATTTTATGGGAAAAATATTGAATAACACAGAAAACATCAAAAGATAGAAGGAATATACAGAGTCACCAAAAAGAAATGGTCAATGTTCAACTATTTCAAGAGGTAGCATATGATCAAGAGCCAATGATACTGAAGGAAGAAGACATCTAAGGTGCACTGAAGGCATTAGCAAAGAACAAGGCACCAGGAATTGATGGAATACAAATTGACATCTTTCAGCAAACTGATATGGCACTGGATGCACTCACTCATCTATGCCAAGAAATTTGGAAGACAGCTACCTGGCCAATTGACTGGAAGAGATCCATTCCAAAGAGAGGTGACCCAATGGAATGCGGAAATTATTGGACAATATCACTGATATCCCATGTGAGTGATATTTTACTAACGATAACACAAAAAGGGTTGCAACCATACATTGACAAGTTCTAGTCAGATTCATAAAAGGATGTGGAATGAGGGATATCATTCCTGATGTCAGATAGATCTTGGTTGAAAGCAGAATATCAGAAACATGCTTGTTTCTTACTGACTATGCAAAGGCTTTCGATTATGTGGTTCATGACAAGTTATGGACATTGTACAGAATAAGTATTCTGGACCACTTAATTATGCTCATGAGGAACCTGTACATATAACAAGAGACAGTTGTTTGAACAGAACAAGGAAACACCAAATGGTTCAAAATTAGGAAAGATTTGTGCTAGGGTCGTATTCTTTCACCATACTTGTTCAAGCTGTATGACGGGCAATAATCAAAAGTCTGGATTATATGAAGAAAAAGATGGAATCAGGATTGGAGGAAGACTCATTAACAACCTGCCATATGCAGATGATACCACCTTGCTTGCTGAAAGCCAAGAGGACTTAAAATACACACTGATGAAGATCAAAGACCACAGCCTTTGGTTTGTGTTGCACCTCAATGTAAAGAAAAGTAAAATTCTCACCATTAGACCAATAAACAATATCCACATAAATGGAGAAAAGCCTGAAATTGTCTAAGGCTTCATTTCCTTTGCATAAACCATCAACACTCATGGAAGCAAGAGTCAAGACTCAAATGATGAACTGCCTCAGTCAAAATTGTCGCACCAGACCTCTTTAAAGTGTTGAAGAGCAAAGATATCAGCTTGAGGACTAAGGTGCACCTGACCCAAGCCGTGGCATTTTCAATAATCTTATAGGCATGTGAACGTTGGACAGTAAATAAGGAAGACTATAGAAGAATTAATGCATTTGAGTTATGGTGTTGGAGGAAAATACTGAAAGTATCATGGACTTCCAAAAGAACAAACCAATCTGTGTTGGAATTAGTACAGCTAGAACACTCCTTGGAAGCTAGGATGGCCAGATTTCATCTCTCATACTTCAGACATATATTATCAGGAAAGACCAGTCCCTGGAGAAGGGTATCATGTTTGGTAAAGTGGAGGGTGAGAGAAAAAAAGGAAGCTGAACAATGCGTTGGACTGGCACAGTGGCAGCAGGAATCAGCTCAAATATAGCAACTATGTTGAGGTTGGCACAGGACCAGGCAGTGTTTCATTCTGTTTTGCATAGGGTTGTTATGAGTTGGTACCGGCTTGATGGCACCTAACAACTGTGAGAGAGTAAATTTCTGTTAGTTGATGCTTTCACCTGTGCTATTTCTATCACAGTAATAATAGATAACTAAGACAAACATTAATGGGAAAGAGGCTCATAGAGGCTTCTGGAGAGAAAATATTTTCCACAGAATATTTTAGTTCAAGAACCTTAAAATTTGAAAAGGTAGATCTGAAACGCATTCCATGTAAGCCTGTAGTTTATATTTGTAGCATGTTCTATTGAGAAAACATAAAGCTATAGTTCATTGGGAAGGAACTTATTTTGAAAGCCTGGAAAAAGCATGCCACTGAGTCATTATGAGACGGGTACCTTTTTATTTTAAATTGAGTGGAGATTTAAAGAACAAATCATCAGTCCCGCATTCAGCAAATCACACACTTCGTGTCATCACAATGATTGCAATCTCTTCTCTGTACCATCATTCACAGGATTTACCTCTACTCATTTAACTCGTGCGAACCCCTCCCTGTGTCTTTCACTACCTTCCATCTTTCCTATGCCAATCTCCCTCTTTTTGAGTACTGCATTCCCCATCAACAGGATACCTTTTTTTAAAATCTAGGGTTAACCTAGTTGGACAAGCTCTAACTGTGTTGAGTGCCTCTGCAGGTAAGCACAGGGGAGCCGAGAGAGGAATGGCAGGAGCAGGCACCTGAGCAGTCGGGACACCAATTGCAGATCGTGCGTGAACCATGTCAACCTTGTCACCTATTGAGTGAAGTACTGTGATTCACTGTGATTTGTTCTCTTCCATTAATTTTTTCGAGCTCTCGATCTCTGAGCATAGAGTAGAGACCACTTAGACAGGCTTCACAGTCTGACTAGTTAGCTCATCCACTTTGTGGATCAACTTCCCTAATATGGCCTCAATCTTCCCAACATCGATTTGAAATTGGATTATTTGTTCGTTATCGGAGACTGTTAGTGATTTGAGAAGTTCCTCATTCGACAATGCTTCCTTGCCGGTTTCCCCTTCCGGATTCAACAGACCGGCTCCGCCTTCCTTCAGGCTCGCCATGATCTCCTCCACCGGTGCATCCATGATGTCTTTCGTGAGCCTGCTCCTGGGGGATCTTGATCTTGACCGCCGAGTCTCCTCTCTCTCTCTCCTCTTTGCTCATGCCTGCCTCCTCTCTCGATTGCCTTGTGTCGACACTGCATCTAAAAGCAGTTCGATAAGACACAGAAGTTTGTCAGGGTTCATTGGGGCTTTTTATTGGTTATGTTCAGGATACCTTTTTAAATGACAGAATTTTCTTACCTTTTCTTACGATGCAAAAATGCAGTTACAGTCTTTCATTATTGAAAGTGTTCAAATATTAAAAATACTAGCACAAAATAAACTGTCAGCTATTGTTCTCCATTAGTTCTAGCCTAAATAACTTACCTCCTGTGATAAGATCATAATAGTAATGATAACCCTCAGAGGTTATGCCTTCTACCCATCTGCCCTTGGAAGGATCTTTTTTTTTCTTCTTCTTTTCTTTCTGCTGATTTGATGTGGAAGAGGGTGACGTGGTGTTGGCTACAGGTGATACACTTGGCTCTGAAATGTCTAGAAGAAAGAGGAGAGAAGGGTACTGAAGTAGCCATAGCAATTCTCCCTCTGACACTCTCAACAAGATACTTTTGAGAATTTGACAAAAGCCATCATAAGGTTCCTTTGGAAAAATAAACATTTAAGAATATCCAAAAAGTCATAAAAAATAAAGTGACAAAGGGAAACTAAGTCCTATCAAGTAATAAAATTTATTTTAAAGTTATGCTTGATAAAGCAGTGCTTTAATGATGCAGGAATAAGACAAATGTATCATTGAAAAAGAATAGTCCAGAAAGAGGCCCAATACCAGATTCTTTATGTTTCTGATTAGTGAGAACAAGATAGATCATTCAGTAAGTGGTTTCGTAATACCTGGCTAATTATTTGGAAAAATGAAAAGCCCAACCTTCCCCCACTTTTTTACATTAATATAAATACCAGATCACAGATATATATAAGTACCACAAAGTAAGTAATGATAGTTTTCACTACATAAGCATTGAAATCTTTTGTTATGACAGACAAAATAAAACATACTAACAACAAATATGACAGAGTGTTAATGTTCATAATAAAGAACCCTTATAATGAAAAATTCAGACAGAAATAAGGGCAAAAAGCACAAACAGAATTCAGAGAACCTGATGGTTACTTTCACTAACAAAGAAATGCAAGCACATGTATATGTATGAGGGAGCTTCAGAATGTCTGTAAAAAATTCTATTATCTTTAAATTCCATTTGTTCATGAACTTTTAAAAGACCCCTTGTGTGTATTTATTTGCATCACATCAACAAGTACTGAAAAGAATGGCCACATCCAATGTTGGTTTAAACTATTATGTTGTTATTATCTGGTGCCATCAAGTTGGTACTGACCCATAGCGACCTTATGCACAGCAAAACGAAACACTGTCTGATCCTGGGCTAACCTCACTATCGTTGCCACGCTTGAGCCCACTGATGCTGCTACTTTGCCAGTCCATCTCGCTGGGGGTCTTCCTCATTTTCTCTGACCCTCTACCCTACCAAACATGATATCTTTCTCCAGTGATTGGTCACTCATGACAATATGTCCAAAGTATGAGAGACTAAGTTTGGCCATCCTGGCCTCCAAGGAACACTCTGGCTGCACTTCTTCCAATAAAGATCTGTTGGTTCTTTTGGCAACCCATGCCTTCCAATATTCTCCTCCAACACCATTACTCAAAAGCATCAATTCTTCTGTGATCTTCCTTAATCACTTAACTCACATGCATATGAGGTTATATTGAAAATACCATGCCACCTTAGTTTTCTTCAACACTCTAAAAAGGTCTTGTGCAGCAGATTTGCCTAATGCAATATGTCCTTTGATTTCTTGACTGCTGCTTCCATAAGTGTTGATAGGTAATCCAAGAAGAAAGTAGTCCTTGACAACCTCAATCTTTTCTCTGTTGATAAGAATGTTGTTTATTAGTCTAGTGGTGAGGATTTTTGTTTTCTTTATAATGAGATGTAATCCATACTGAAGGCTGTGGTCTTTGATCTTCATCAATAAATGTTTTAAGTCCTCTTCACTTTTAGCAAGCAAGGTTGTTATCATCTGCATATCGCAGGTTGCTAATGAGTCTTCCTCCAATCCTGATGCCACGTTTTTCTTCATAGAACACAGCTTCTTGGATTATTTGCTCAGCATACAGGTCGAATACATATGGTGAAAGAATACAACCCTGTCGCATACCTTTCTTAATTTTAAAACATTGTGTTCCCATGTTCTGTTCAAACAACCGCTTCTTGGTCCATGTACCGATTCTTCATGAGCACAATTAAGTGTTCTGGAATGCTCATACTTCGTTATGTTGTCCATAGCTTCTCATGATCCACAAATCAAAAGCCTCTGCGTAGTCAATAAAGCACAGGTAAACATCCTTCTGATATTCTCTGCTTTCAGCCAAGATCCATAGGACATCAGCAGTGATATGCCTCATTCCACAGCCTCTTCTGAATCCAGCTTGAACCTCTGGAAGTTCTCTGTCTACGTATGCTTGTAGCCGTTTCTGTATTACCTTTAGCAAAAGTTTACTCGCATGGGATATCAGAGCTATTGCTCGATGATTTCCACATTCCGTTGGGTCACCTCTCTTTGGAATGGGCACAAATACGGGTCTCTTCCAATCAGTAGGCCAGTTAGTTGTCTTCCAAGTTTCTTTCTTTTAAATTTATTTAAATTTATTTTTTTGTCTTCCAAATTTCTTGACATAGATAAGTGATTGTCTCCTGTGCCGCCTCACTTTCTTGAAAGATTTCAATTTTTATTCCATCAATTTCTGGTGTCTTGTTCTTTGCCAATTCCTTCAATGCACCTTAGATTTCTTCCTTCAGTATCATTATCTCTTAATCATATGCTACCTCTTGAAATAGTTGAACACCAACCATTTCCTTTTTGTACAATGACTCTGTGTATTCCTTCCACTTTCTTTTGATGCTTTCTGCATCATTCAACAATTTGCCCAGAGAATACTTCAATAACAAAAGTCGAGGCTTGAATTTTTTCTTCAGTGCCCCCAACATGAGAAATAAATGCTGAGTGTGTTCTTCCTTTTTTGGTTTTCTGAACCAGATTTTTGCACATGTTGTAATATTTGGCTTTATCTTCTTGAGCTGATCTTTGAAATTTTCTGTTCAGCTCTTGAACCTCCTCATTTTTTCCATTTGCTTTAGTATCTCTATGTTGGAGAGCAAGTTTCAGTGTCTCCTCTGACATCCATTTTGATCTTTTCCTTCTTTCTTGTCTTCTCAATGACTTTTTGCTTTCTACTTGTATGATGTTCTTGATTTCATCCAACAACTCTTCTGGTCTTTGGTCTTTAGTGTTTCATGTATCAAATCTGTTATTCAGATGATGTCTAAATTCAGGTGGGATTATTTAAGGTCATATTTCGGGTCACGTGGACTTGTTTTCATTTTCTTCAGCTTCAGTTTGAATTTGGATATGAGCAATTGATGGTCTGTTTCACAATCTGCCCCGGCCTTGTTTTGACTGATGATAAGGACCTCTTCCACCATCTCTTTCGGCAGATGTAATCAATTTGATTTCTATGTGTTCCATCTGACGAGGTCCATGTGCATAGTTGTCTCTTATACTGTCTAAAGAAGGTATTTGAAATGAACAAATCATTGGTTTTGCAGAATTCTATCATGCTATCTCCAGCATCATTTCTATCACCAAGGCCATATTTTCCAACTACTGATCCTTCCTCTTTGCTCCCAACTTTTACATTCTAATCACCACTAATGATCACTACATCTTGATCGCATGTTTGATCAATTTCAGATTGAAAAAGTTGGTAGAATTCTTCTATTTCATCCTCACTGGCTTTAGTGGTTGGTACATAAATTTGAATAATAGTGGTATTAACTGGTCTTCCCTGTAGGTACATAGGTACTTCATGACTGATCTGGATATGTTCTTTTTGACAATGAATGCAACACCATTCCTCTTCAATTTGATTAGCAGCATAGTAAATCATGTGGTTGTCAGATTCAAAATGGCCAATACTAATCCATTTCAGCTCACTAATGCCTAAGATACTGATGTTTATGCGTTCCATTTCAGTTTTGACAATTTCCAATTTTCCTAGATTCATACTTCATACATTCCATGTTCCAATTATTAATGAATGTTTACAGCTGTTTCTCTTCATTTTGAGTTGTGCCCAATCAGCAAATGAAGGTCCGGAGGGCTTTATTCCCATGGGCTTTACTCCTTTGGTGTCAACATGGTCAACTCTACTTTGAGGAGGTAGCTCTTCCCCAGTTGCATTTTGAGTGCCTTCCAACCTGAATGCCTCATTTTCTGGCAGTGTTTCTCTGCTATTCATAAGGTTTTCAGTGACTAAATATTCGGAAGTAGTTTGTCATTCCTTCTTCCTAGTCTTTTTCTGGCAGCTCATCTGAAATCCCTGCTGGTATTTAAAATTCCGGTGGCATAACTTCCAGAATCATAGCAACTCACAAGCCACCATATTACGACAAACTGACAGACGTGTGTTAAGTTGTTGTTGTTAAGTGCTATCAAATTGGTCTTGACTCATAGTGACCCTATATAGGGTTTCTAAGGAGCAGCTACTGGGTTTGAACTGCTGACCTTGTGTTTCACGGTCCAGTGCTGATCCTACAGCATCATACCAGGAGTCCGAACCATTATGTACCTGGTGTGAAAAATGGGTAGTTTGTAAAGCTTTACTTTTTTTCAAATGAATGGACAGCTGTTTCCAACATCACTTGATAAATTCTATTTTATATCTAATAAAAGTGCAAATTAAAGCAGCACATTCTGGAGACATCTTGGTATTAGATATTAACATATAAAGTATGTTTACACTTTGATTCTATAATCTACTTTCAAATGAGGAATCTACAAAGATAAATAAATGTAAAAAGAAGCATGCATAATTAGGATGCTCACGGAAGTATTTTTTAACAGTGACAATCTCCAAGCAATCTAATGTGAAATTAACTAAGAGATTACATTTTGACAAAAGAAACAATGATGGTTATGTGCTGTGGAGCTGGTTCCGACTCATAGAAACCCTGTACAGGGTTTCCGAGGTTGTTATTCTTTAAGGGAGCAGAAAGCCTCATCTTTCTTCCACGGAACAACTGGTAATTTCGAACTGCTGACCTTGTGGTTCGCAGCCTGATTCATAACTACTATGAATGATTGTTGTTGTTAAGTGCTATCGAGTAAATTTCAACCCATAGCGACCCTGTAAAGGGTTTCCGAGGAGCAGCTGGTGAGCTTAAATCACCAACCTTGCAGTTCAAATGACTTTGCAATCTGACGCATTAACCCACAGCACCACACCAGGATAGTAATCCTGTATTATGTGTCAAAACCAACTCCACAGCATTTAACAACAATCATTTCTTAAGCATTTGTTATGGATACTGTTGCTATGTGCTTTCAAGTGGGTTCGGACTCATAGAGACCCCGTATAGGGCTTCAGAGGAGTGGCTGGTGAGTTCAAGTCACTGACCTTGCAGTTCGAACAGACCTTGTGGTCCAGGGCTTCTCATACAGCGCCATACTAGGACTCCAATAAATATCTTATAACATTATCTATCTTACCATTAGCAATGACCCAAGACCACAACAGTAGGAAAAGGCAATTCTGCTAACTTCACAGTCTGTTTCCTAACCACCCTAAAGTAGTTAGGAAGCCACTAAAATCATGAATATCCTTATTTTATAATAAAAAGTTATACTGTTGTTATTAGGTACCATTGACTGAGTTCTGACTCACAGCCACTGTGTATATAGTTTCTGAGGCTATAAATTTTTACAGGAGCATTAAGCCTAAATTTTCCTCTCAGAGTGGCTGGTGGATTTGAACTGCCAACTCTGTGTTTAGCAGTTCAATGCTTATCCCAAAATTCCACCAGTGCTCACAAGATGTATTTGACATGTAACTGGAGGTGAAAACAAAACTATCTTCAAACAGAACACAACATAGACTCATAGTTTAATTTTATAAAATAATTCTAGAAATGTTACCAAAAAAATCTAAACAGTAGTTAGTGAGTTTTTAATAAAGATTTTTATTTGTACTGTGCTGCTTGGTGAAAATGAACTTGTGAGATTTATTTGTTCAAAGGACTGCATAATACTCTCCCATCCATGTAACAGATAGGTTGGATTTTCAGTTTGATTTCTCTTGAATTTTCCAAAATGCCTACATCCATTTTCCCCTTAAAATGGACGTATGGCTTTAGGCACAGAGAAGCAATACCAAGAATATTATTTTGAAGACTAACAGCTGCTCTTACTTGAAGGGAATACAAATTGACTTAAATGCCATTCTACTACAAACCTTGACTGAAAGTGGTTTTTATTAGCAAGTAAATAATAATACAAGGAGGCTTCAGAAAGACTGGAAAATTCTAGTATCTTTTAACTGTATTTTTTCCATGATCTTTTTAACGCTTTCTCTTACTATTCCATGTTGACTATCCAAACTATTATGGAAGATCAATAACTGAGATCTTGGCTTATGGGTGGTTTAAGGACAATGAATTTGCCATGGAAGAAATACTCATACAAGCTTTCCAACTCAAAGGCTAAATGCAGCGACAGAATGGACACATTCCAGTTACATTATGCCTCTTACCTGGAACTTATCCTTGAATCCTCAGAGTATCTACCTTCTAGTAGTAAAGTCAGTTAATTTGTTCACCAAACACTAATTCACTATAATTCATCCATATATATAAACATGATTCGTAGCTTTCAACATAGTTATGGCTAATGGTAATTATAATGCAAGGCCTATTATTTAATAAATAATTTCTTTTAACCAAATAATTAGAATACTAGAAAAACAACAAAAGTGTCTCTGAAATAAACCAATGACTTATGACACAGAGCTAGGATAAGGTAACCACAAAGGTAGTATGTTTGCTGTGGATAGGGGAGTTAAAAGATGAAGTGTTAAAAGCGAAACAAAAGTTTATGAGCAAAGCACCACAGTGGAACTAGGGCTATGAGGCAAAGTAAATACCCTGAGAGTAGACCCTGAGTGTAATACCTCTTCTTGGAAACAATAAAAGTTCTCTTAACATGACTTCAAGACCTCTGATGTACTTATAAAACACATTGGCTGCTTTTTTACCTGACTCTAAGCCAAGCCTTTTCAAATCCTCTTGGTATGCTTTAAGGGCAGCTGCCTCCATTGCAGCAAACTCCTTTGATGCCTTTTCTTCTTCCTTTGCTTTGTCCAGGCTTTTCTGTTTAATCTTTGTAAGACACACACAAAAGTGAAAGTGAGATAAAGGACTGATATCTACATAGGAAAACTGGCAAAAAAATAATCTAAATTACCTCACTGATTCTTTTCGCAACATTTTCCTTGTGAGTCTTCCCTCTTTCATGAAATTCAACACTCTTGGAAAAAAAAGAGAAAGTACAATGGAAAGTGATATAAACGTTTTAGTGTTTGTAGTAAGGTAATACAGTATACATGGTAATTGAAACTAAAACAGGCAAAAAGGACAAAAATAGATTAACTTTACTGCAAATTGCCTTTTTTATCAAATGATGCTAGAGAATTAAATCATATTTTTGTTACTGGAGTTCTGGTGTGGTGCTGTTGGATAAACAATGGACTGCTAATTACAATGTAAGCGGTTTAAACCCACCAGCCACTCCTTGGAAACCCTATACAGGGTTGCTATGAGTTGGAATCAACTTGATGGCACTTAATAACAATTTTTATTATTATGCTCTTTTATGAGGGTTTCCTTTGGTTCTTAGACTCAAACAAGACACGTTCTACACTCCAAAAGAGAGGTGGCAAAAATCTTTTCAAGAAACATCTCTCAATATCAAAAGCATTCAAAGAATTCTATTGCTCTCTTGTTTATATCAGGTGACAAAGAACAAAGAGAGCCTTAGCGCTTTATTCCTTAAAAGTGAGAAAAACCATACATTAAAAAATTACTCCTAAATTACAAATAAACACTTTGATATATTGTAATAGTGCAGAATGGTACAACTCCTATAGAAGACAATTTGGCTCTATTAGTCAAAATTACAAATGTATTTGCCCTTTGACCCAGCAATTCCATTTCTAGGAACTTACTTGATAGATCTGCATTCGTACACCAGGATGCTAAGTATAAGTTTATTCACTGTAGCCTTGTTGTTGTTAAGTGCCATCAAGTCGGTTCCAACTCATAGTGGCCCTATCTATGTAGGGTTTCCAAGGAATGGGTGGTGATTTTGAACTACCGACCTTGTAATTCAAAACGACCGTGTGGTCCAGTGCTGTATGCCAGTATCACACCAGAACTCGTTGTTATTAACAGCAAAAACTGAGAACAATCTAATCGTCCATTCAAAGGTGTCTAGTTTAATAATGTATTAAACATTCCCAGAGACTGCTATAATAGTGAACAGGAAGCTCCTTATGTATTATATGGGGAGCTCCAACATATACCATTCAATTAAAAAAACAAAACAAAACTATGGTTCAGAATAGTGTATACAGAAAGCTAACTTTCATGTTGTGGCACTGCAGGGTAAACACTGGATTGTGAACCACAAATTTGGTGATTCAAACACACAAGTTGCTCCTTGGAAACCCTATACAGGGTGGCTATGAGTCGAAACTGACTTGATAGCACTTCACAACAACTTTGATGTATACTGGAATATGAATCTTTGTTATATGCATATATAAAGACAATGGAATGAAAAGACAAGAAAATGAAAAAAAAAAAAAGAAAAAGTGGTAATTTATGGAGATTTAGGGCCTGAACCAATTCCACAGCACAAAAAACAACATAGAAGTTCTGGTGTAGAATTAAGCACTGGACCACAAGGTCAGTCTGAACCACAAGGTCGGCAGTTCAAACCCACCAGCCACTCCTGGGGAACCGTATACAGGGCCATTATGAGTTGAAACCGACTCAGTGGTACTTAACAAGAGTCAGACCTGACCTGACAGTACTTAACAATAATAGTAACTGAATGCTAGGGCAGAGATGGGTGAGTGAACATTAGTACTACTTTAAAACAGCCAGAAATGATCCCTAAGTCACATGTGGCTGGTTGTAAGCAATAAAAAATTCCTGGTAAAGTCTGCAAGGTAAGTCCTGTCAATCATGTCATGATGTGATACACTGGCTGGGCTATTCTAAAGTACCATTGTGAGCACTTTTTTTGTAAAGCTGAACATTACAAGGCCATTCAGAAATAATATTGTTTCTAGTTAAAGACTCAATAAATAAACACTAACAACCTCAAAGAGCTGCAGATAGACTACCCAGGAGAAAAAAATTTACTCTAGACAACTCATAAAATTCACTGAACTGCTTTGGTGCAGTGACATCTAGTGATTTGTGTGAGTTTTCATGTTTGTGGTATTTATTTAATTAATTATTGTAAAGATGGCCTGAGTCAAGAACTTTAGCAAATATTCAAAAAAGCCAAAACACACATTCAAAAAAAGGAAAAGAAGAAACCCAAACACCTCATAGATAATAACAAGTGCAGTTGAGATGATTGTGACTTCCGGGTAAAGTACTTTACCCACAGGGTAAAGTACAACTTCTCTATGTTACTGCTGTGAAGTACCACTGAGTTGGTTCCAACGCATAGAGAGCCTGTATAGGGTTTTGGAGGAGTGGTTGGTGAATCTGAACTATTGACTTTGATATGAGCAGTCCAGTGATTATCCTACAGCGCCACATCTGGACTGCCTCGTTTTTCTCCTGCAGAGTGGCTGGTCAACCTTTTGGTTAGTAGTCGGGTACTTAACCCATGACACCAGGGCTCCTTCACAGACAACTGTAAATATGTATTTATCAAAGAAACAAGTATTGCAAAAAAAAAAGGGGGTGGTGGTGGACTACTGTTCTTTAATACACCCAAACTTTCCAGATACAAGGTATATAAATATATATTTCACAGATATATTTATGAAACCCTAGGGTTTATATGCATGAGTGGGGGAGAAAAACCTCAATGGTGTTATTTTCTTGACTTCAAAAGGTAAATTTAGACTAGGAAACATAGTAATGTGTTTAGCTGAGTTGCTATTTTTATATTCTATTACAGAGGTGATAATGTACTTTTGAACTGCTGCATCTATGGATGGGAAGCTTTTAATCAAATATATAAAAAAGAAAATATAAAAGAAAAACTCTAATAGTGTTTTTTCTTTTAATATTTGAAGGGTTTTTCATTTTATTTTACTTTGTATATGGAAGTACTACAACAACTATAACATAGATATTTTATAAGCACAGAAGATCTACTCAATGACCACTTCCTGAATGTGACTGATGATGCCATGGAGAAATAACCTGATTATTCATAAAATCAAATTTAGGTTGATGAAAAGAAAAGAAAGACAGCAGAAATCTTTCAATGTTTTGAAAAATTAAGAGCAATGTATATGAAAGTGCTTTGCAAACAGAATTTAGATCAAAAAGGAACACTTCACAGGAACAAAATGAACAGAATTTCTAGTAGGAGAATTATCATACAGGTCTGTTGTCCGCTATCCAGCACTTGCAGTAATCACAGAACTTCTTTGGTTGTGACTTCCAGTAATCTGCCCTAAAAAAAAGGGAAAAGCAGCCTAAGCTTATTTACATATGTGAAAAGAGTAAAGTTTTGCAAGCTTTAATATCTGTTTAACAGCATGAAAAAAATGTCTGCGCTTGTAGGATAAGTACTGGACTGCGAACTCCTCGAAAACCCTGTACAGGATCCCAGTGAGTCAGAATTGACTCGAGGCACTAAACAAGAAGCCAATCTTGTCTTGTATATTGCACTGCTTTAGTTTATCTGACTGAAATTCCGTTGCCATTAAAAAAAAAAAAAAATCAACTACAAAAACCCCTGCACCAGTTTTATTATAAAATTTCCCCCAAATACAAGTTCATTTTTTCCTCTGATGTTATTGTCATTATTGCAAAGAAACAGGGACGTTTTGTTAAGGGCCGTGGGGTTGGTTCTGACTCATGGCGACCCTGTAGCAGGGTTTCCGAGGAGCACCTGGTGGGTTTGAACTGCTGACCTTGAGGTTAGCAGCCCAGTGCTTAGCCTAAATCGCACCACGAGGATATTTACTCTCTCCGTTCTTGTCTTGCTTTTAAAAGGCTGCAGTAACGACAGTCAGAAGAAACTCACAAAGTTTGCCTTAAATCTAGTCACTTTCAGACGAACAAAGCACAAGATTACTCTGGTGGGGAGCCCCTGGTTCCTTCCAGGCTATCAGTATCATTTGTTCTGGAGCCGCCAGGGAAGAGAGAACTGGAAAAGCTAACGACAAATAAAGCCACACCAAAAAGTCGTCACTACACAATAAGGGCAGGCCGCATCTCGTGGGGGGAAAGAGGGGCGACAACCTACGCCTAAAGTTTCACAACACTCCAGGGTTCAAGCGTTTCACATCCCAGTTGGGCTCTTGCGACCCCCGACTGCGCAGAAGGAGAGCGCTCCCCCTCACCGCATCGTGACTCCCAACCCGCCATCACCACCGGCTGTCAGGCTCCCACCGCAGAGCCGGGCTCCACGCCCTCAGGGCGCTCCGCGAGGTAGCATTTCTAACCCGCCCAAAGAACCGGTCCTGCAGATCCGAGGCTGTTCTCGGGCGATTTAAGAGCGTCTGTCACGCCCCCGGTCGACGAGCGGGGGGAGACTCGGTGGAACAAGGTCCGCTCTGAGAAACAACACTTCGGTTGTTAAGAGCCTGAGAACCAACTCACATGATTCCGTCAGCCGTTCCTCGCGTCGCCCCGGGGTCCGGCTCTGACTTGTGCCCACCACACAGGACAAGCCTAGCTGTTTCTGAGGCCTACCCAAGCCTCGGGTCCTAAACACCGCCAGTCTTCCCCAGAACCAGCGAGTCTCGGTTTCCAACTACGGGTGCTCAGCTGACTCAATCCGCGTTCAAAAGCGTCCCCTCTTTCCCTCCCCTTCCAGGGGCGGTACTCCAGGCTGCAGAGAGGTGGGGTCAGTATAAAGGAGTTGAGGTCGTTGAGTAGGGGCGAAAGCACGACGGGACCTGAGCGGAAGGGCAGGAGCTCGAATCCTTTAGCTTCTTCTATTATCTGGAATCAGGAACCTTCCCAACCCCTTCTTTTAGGCTTGCTGGCTCGCACGCCGCCTCCGACCCGATCGCAAACAGCTGTTCCCAGAGACGTCGCCGCCCTCAACTTTGCCAACAAATCCGCACGCACTTTGACCAGCGGAGCAACCCGGATCTGTGGGCTGGGGGCCATTGGCGAGTTTAAAAAGAAAGGTGAAACAGCTGGCTTTGGGGCCGCGAGTTGCTCGGCTTAGCCTCGAAACTTTCCTTTGGCGGTGGAGCGGCCCCGCCCTCCCCCGCGACGCCCGCGAGCTCGGCCTGTCTAGTTCTCTCGCTCGGAGCGTGTGAGCAGCGGCAGCAGTGACTCCGGTGGCGTACAGGCGGCGGCTGGGAGAACAGCAGAAGCTTTCACCGACAGCAGCAGTGGCATATGTTTGTCAGGTAGGTCACGGCAACGCTCTTCGCAGCGCTTCCCATATGGTCTAGCGGTTAGGATTCCTGGTTTTCACCCAGGCGGCCCGGGTTCGACTCCCGGTATGGGAAAGTCAAGATTTTTTTTTTTTTTTTTTTTTTTAAACCGATTAGGGTAAACGTTTCAATTTCAGTGGCTCTAACTTTTCTTGTCCCCGTGTTGAATAACAACAACTCTTTTCTTGTCCCGTGTTGAAGCTCAAATTAAGAATTTGGTAAACGAACATTCGTGAAGGTAGTGACGGCCGAGACTGGGCTGCCGCTTCAGGGGTCACCGGGGCTGTGCCGACCGGACTGGAGGAGCGAGCGCCCACGGGGTCCGTCTCCCCCGGCTTGGGGCTTAATTCGCCGAGTTTCACTTTCTCGGGAACAGTCCCCCACGCCCACGCTCCAGCCCCGCGCCGTAGTTTTCCAGACGTTCAGGAGATGATGATTAACTCCGGCCTTGACTTGTCCCCTCCCAGCGCCCCACTTGGCCCCACACCCTCCTCGGTCGCCCCAAGTGACAGGGGCGTGTTTGCCCCTTGCCCTACACCCCCTCCCGGGCGGCCGCCACTAGTCTCCGTCGTAGTCTCTCCGCCGGGTGTTTACTGGCACGTAGTGCGCCCTGTGTTCGGCAGCTTCCCCAGGGACGCTCGCGGGCTGGCTTGGGACCCCCAGCGGTCGGCGGGGCATGGCGGGGAGCACCAGCGCCCGCAAGCGCGCTTTCCCGTCGGCTCTTGGGTCGGGCCGGGTCACATCGGCTGCGTGTGCACCCCTGTTGGCAACGGCCATGGAGCCTTTCCTAGCCCGAAAGCCGGCCTGTAGCGTCAACCCCAACTTGACATTCGGTGGCGCTCGTGGCAGCTCGCGAAAAGTACCATAGACTCCAGAGCCACAGACCTGAGTGCGTTTTGCTTGACCAGGCCCTTGGGGGGAAAGTCAATCCCTACGTCCCCCCCGCCGAAACTTTAACTGTTTTTAAAAGAAAAATACGATGATGACACGCCTTTAAAAGCAAAAAAAAAAAAAAAAGACTTTCCAAAGGTCTATTGGTTTGAGCGTCGTAGATAAAAACCCTGGGGTGGGGGGTGGGGCTTGGGAGAGAAAATTGGCTGGAGACTGGGGAGGGGATGTTATAACAAAGTTTCACTGTGTTTTTAAATATAGAAGCCCTGTGTTTATCACAAAGAAGGGGCAGCTGTGTCAGCAACATGTGAGCTGTAAATGAAACAAAAGCGTTATCTTAAATGCAAGCTGAAATTAGAAAAATAGGGTCAGCTATATAATGTTTAGTCTGTGGGGCTTCTGGGAACAAATGGAGAAGGAAAAAGTGACTTGTGGATGGGTTTTTGGTTAGTACTATTGCTAAGAGCTCAAGTTTTGTTGATATGCGTGCTCAGACTATTCTTTATAGTTTTACTGGTTTTATAGTTTGAAATAATATTTTAAAGGTGATCTGTGCTATGAGTTGGAACCCACTCCATAGTACTTAGCAGCGTTAAAGAATTAGTTAGTAATCTATTTTATATGTATTTTAAGGTATCATCATTAATTCAAATTTTTGAGCATTTACTATATATATTACGGATGTTCAAGTAGTTCATCTTAGGAAGTCGTGGCAGCTGGGACCTTGTCGAGATGTTTCACCTTTGAGCTTAGGTTTAGAGCTATATATACATTTTTAATCACATACTACTCACAAACTTTAAGGAGCTCTGGTAGCATAATGGTTATGAATCGGGCTGCGAACCGCAAGGTTACCAGTTCGAAACTATCAGCTGCTCCACGGGAGAAAGATGAGGCTTTCTGCTCCCGTAAAGATTTACCGCCTCGGAAACCCTGTTCAGGGTCGCTATGGGTTGGAAACGACTCGATGGCACTTAACAACAACTCACAAACTATCTTGAGATTTAAGAATTGAATAGGTAATGAATGTGGAAAAGTTTGATTTAAATATGTAGCATTATATGACATTATTAAGGAATCAGCTACTATCATATTAGGTGGAGATTTAGAAGAAAGGAAAGGCAAACTTTACCTTAACTGTCTCCGTGGTGGGCTCAATTCTTGATTTTGCATATTATTTTTTTGGTATCATATTGTACCAAAAGGTGCTAAGGTGGATGTTATTTCAACTGAGCCAACTATTGACTGCAAATTTTTTGTTAAGTGTTGTCGAGTGGGTTCCAACTCATATCCACCCTGTGTAGGCTTTCCTAGGAGCAGCTGGTGAGTTTAAACCACTTACATTGAGGTCCAGTGCTTATCCTACAGCATCACACCAGGGCTCTACAAAGCCACACTGACTGCTTGGGAAAGGGAAAGGGAGTTGTTGGTCTGTCACATCATAGTAGGGAAGTACTACCAGAGAAGGTGAGCATTCAGTTCTGCTCAGGCAGAGAACCTTCAGGAGAGTGGTTGTGCAGGGCCTTGAAGAACTGGTTAGATTTCTCCTTGTGGCGAATGTGAATCATAAAGGTGTGGTGGTGGGGAATAGATATGAAACTGGCAAGTAATCTTATTGGGCTAACAGGTGACTGGAGGATGAGCCATCGTAACTCAATCTGGGAAGATAGTAAGGAATTCGGATTGATTGTACAATGATAATAGGCTCTTTTAAGGGATTGTGACATTTTATTTCACTTGAGTTTTAAAAACCTTTTTTGTCTCTTTGAAAAACCCAAATATAGCAGCGCTATGTGAAAACATTCTTGTTTCCAGAAACATCATTTTATGCACCTGGGTTTTATATGGCCCCTGGTGTGGTGCTATAGGATAAATGAGCACTGGACTGGTAACCAACCACAAGGGTGTTGGTTAAACCCCACCAGCTACTCCTCAGAAATCCACTATGAGTCGGAACACACTTGATGGCATACAAAGACAACAAGCTTTTATATTTGTGGTGTTGTTATGTGCTGTCAAGAAGGCTCCAACTGATAGTGACCCTGGATAGGGTTTCCAAGGAGCATAGCTGGTGGGTTTGAGCCGATGACCAATCTTGTGGTTGGCAGTTCAGTGCTTATTTTATGGTACCACTCTAGGACTCTGGTTTCATATTGGTTATTTTTTTTAAGCAATTGGTTATTAATTTTTTACTAATAGAATAGACACAGAAAATTTATTAGAGTTCAATTTAAAAGAATGAAATCAAGATTTAAATTGTGGGAATGACTTAAGCTATCTATATTCTTGTTTCCTTTATTGAAAATGACTTCATATTTTGAGGTGGAGTTCATTACTGTAATTAGGATGGTGGTGGTGGTGCTGTGCTGTGGAGGCGATTCCCTAGCGATCATCCAAAAGGTTTCCAAGGCTTTAAATCTTTCTTCCAGGGGCAGAAAGCCTCATCTTTCTCCTGTGGAACGGCTGGTAATTTTGAACTGCTGATCTTGAGGAGGTTGTTGTTATGTGCCGTGGAGTCGGAACTGACTCATAGTGACCCTGTACAGGGTTTCTGAGTATAGAGTTTCTGAGACTGTAAATCTTTATAGAGCAGAAAGCCTCATCCTTCTCCTGCGAACTGCTGGCTGTGAGATTAGCAGCCCAATTCCTAACCACTGCACTACCAGAGCTCCTCACTATAGGATGTTAGCAATCCAATTTGTAACTGCATTACCGGAACTCCTGTAAGTAGGGCGTATGCTTTAAATTCATTAACAATTGATACATTTGTGAGGATTCAGTTACATGCTTCTGCTTTGTTAATAAAATACCATTGTCATTCATTCATTAAGGTGTTTTCTCTTGGGCCACAAAAGAAAAGTGAAGCTAACCAAATGGAGTGGATTAATCCACTAGCATAGGATCAGCACTGGACTGCAAACTACAAGGTTGGAAGTCAAGCCCACCAGCTACTCCTTGGAAACCCTAGACAGGGTCGCTATGAGTCGGAACCAACTCAACAGCACTTAACAAACAGCAACGTTGTTAGTACAATCAGAAGAGAATTGAAAGTTCAGTAAATTTT